TTACTTCCTTTCTCGTCAGCTGATACACATTTCATTGATGCCCAGACTTGACAAGTCCCCCAGCTTCTGCTTCTCACATTGGTGCCCCAAGGGCCTCTTCCATAGGAAACGTTGAGGCTCATTGTTAGAAGCACGTGACATGCTCCAAGAAAATACCCATTGGGCAGGGACCATCCAGGAGACATCCATAGCAACTTAAGAGCTGGGAGGTCTCTCCCTCCTTACACCATCAAGCAGGATAGCCCCTGGTGCTCATGGGAGCCCCTCTGAAGCCTGGTGACAGGACAGGAACCACTGTGCAGTCCTTCCAGGGATCACAAGATGCCCGGCTCGGAGAAGCAACCACTGCTGTGTGCTTCCTATGACTCATCTTGTGCTGTGTGTACAGAACCCTTTTCCCCCCTTTTCCCTCTGAGAAGGGCACCCTGCCTGCTGGAAAGTTACTCCAGGTGGGGAGTGGGGCAAAGCCAGCTCCCACCCTTTATAAGCACTCTGGAGCCTGGGCCATTCCCCGGTGATTTACAATGTTTGATTTCTCGCCGGGACAGAGGAGTGCTCTGTAAATCAAACCTGTCTTGGTTTGTCAACCTGTGTCAGTGTTCGCTGAGTCCTCCAGTCAAAGGCAAGTTGGAACAGCATGGAGACCTTGGCATAGGACTCGTCCCCCTCTCTCCAGCTTCCCATTTTGATGAAACAATTCTAGGGTGAGGTTGGCCCTAGGAGTTATTTCTCTGACTCATATTCCCCTTTGCTCTTTTCACACACTCAGAATGCAGCTACTTTGAGTCCCTCGTAGCCCTGGGCAGAGAAAGAGGCCAGAGTTGGGACAAAGCCCTGCTAGGGTCCACTCCCAAGGCTGAGAAGACAAACAGGGAGGTGTCTCTCCCAAGCTGATTTCTTTCATCACCTCAAGCCATTTGGGGACACCATTGCCACACACTTGGTGAAGAGGCCTCAAACTGGTTCCAGCACTCGAAGATGTGAACAAGCCTACATACAAAGCGACATAGAATTAAGTCAAGCAAAGAGGGAAACAGCTGGTTTGGGATCTGTTCTTTGGGTGAGACGAGGAATTTCGGGGGACCCTACATCTTTAGAGACTTGGGTTAATGTGTTGAGAAACAGATCTTACCTCAGGAAAACGTTTATATGGCCACCTCATTTCATACTTTGTTTTTGATTGAAAGTTCTTGGAGACATAGGACTCACCTTCAAGAATCTCACAACTTGGAAGGGAACAAACACCAATAGCTTCAATACATCTGCAGGTGCAAACACAGAGTTCTGCATAAGGCACCATCTTTTCTTTCCTAGGATGTAGACAACTAGCCTACACACGTGCTTACTCGGAAGACAGAGTCTGTATCTTTAGCTATCTCTGTGCACGGCTGGGATCACAGCAGTATTTGAAGTGGAGAAAGGAGAACTCAACTGAGAGTAAAGACGTTTGTGCAGGGGCTCCCGTGCCCTGGCACTCTCGAGAGGGGCTTTCACGCTTCAAATTTTACAAGTCCTGATTCATTCAACATGTAACAAAAAAACGTGAGTATTGAAAAGTTTTAGAAAGACACAGCACCTGGCCTCCATAAGAGCTGGTCTGGGTCACACTTTCTGAGAACAGAGGAAACGTCAATTATCCACATCTCAGGATTCCCAAGTTCTCCGTCTGGACCTTGACTATCCTCCTATGATTTTGAACAAGCCTCTGACTTTGTATGCCTCAGAAATTAACTGAATAAAATAAAGAAATTGGACTGACTGAAAAGCGAATGTGGGTATCATTAGGATGCTTCATCTGAGCGGCAGCCATTCACTGATGTATTCATTCATTCTGAATCACTATATTTGGATGCTGCTTTCTTTGGTTTGGTTCTGGAATGTCCCCCAAAGGCTCAAGAGTTAATAAAGGCTTGGTCCCTGGCTTGTGACACTATTAGGAAGTGGTAGGAACTTTAAGAGACAAGACCTGCTGGTGAGCCTAAGGTGACTGAATCCCTTTAAGTGGAGCTGTGGGAGCCTGACTTCTTACTCTTTCTCCTTAGTGTCTCAGCCAAGAGGAAAAAGCTTTGTTCTGACTTAGACCGCCACCATTATGTGCTATCTAGCCACAGGAGCAAAGGCACTGAGGCCAATAACCTCCAAAGCCGTCAAGTTATAGCTGCCATGTGTTTGCTACAGAAGCAGAAAGCTGGTCAGCCCAGTGCCCACTTTAATAAGCAGATGCAAAAATTGTGTACATGCAAAAGACAAAGATGAGATGCACCCGATCTGAGGAATCTGCCTTACGTATAAGAGACCCAAGTTACCCCATTAGCAAAATTCATGGAAGATTGATGCTAATATTCCAGTAAAGTATATCAGGATTTTAATTTTTGATTCTGTCACCTGGAGGACTTGGAAGTGGTCCCTCTATCCTAGCAACAAGCAGAAAGAAAAAGAAAGAAGGAAGGAAGGAGAAAAGATTGACCCTTTTAAAATATGTAAGAGAAGTGAGTTACTACACCAAACAAACAAACAATGTCCCCCAGTCCAGAGAATCACAAGTCACCAGAGCAAAAGCCCCACTGGCAGCCAGCATCTATCCACCAATCACACAAGCCGTAACTGTGAGTAGCTGGAGGCTCAGCACAGAGTACCGAACCTCAGTCATGTAGAGCCCTGGCCTTAGTGAATTTTGTCTCCAGAAACTCAACCCGTTTCTTTTTTTTAATTTTTTTATTCATTTATTAAAGATTTCTGTCTCTTCCCCTCCACCGCCTTCCATTTCCCTCCCCCTCCCCCAGTCAAGTCCCCCTCCCTCGTCAGCCCGAAGAGCAATCAGGGTTCCCTGCCCTGTGGGAAGTCCAAGGACCACCCAAATCCATCCAGGTCTAATAAGGTGAGCATCCAAACTGCCTAGGCTCCCACAAAGCCAATACGTGCAGTAGGATCAAAAACCCATTGCCATTGTTCTTGAGTTCTCAGTAGTCCTCCTTGTCCGCTATGTTCAGCGAGTCCGGTTTTATCCCGGGCTTTTTTCAGACCCAGGCCAGCTGGCCTCGGTGAGTTCCTGATTTTGGAGAAAATAGTCTCCTCATGTTTCCATCAGGAAGGACGGGAAAGAACCATTCTGAACACTTGGTACTCAATAAGAAACAAATTAGTAAGCCTGCGGAGATGTCACCAGAGTCCGCGTGGCCAGCGAAGAAACAAAGCACACAATCCAAGTATGTTCTGACCCCTCTACTATCTAAACGGAGAAAGATGGACAGACATTGCGAAATCCCAGCACAGGGCACAGAACCACCAAACTAATGCGTGAGGGGAAGAAAACAGCTCAGGGGAGACTAAAAATCTTTTCGGCTAACTGAGAATGAAAATACAACTTAGCAGAGCTTGCGGGGCGGGTGAAACTGATACTTAGAGGGAAGTTGACAGCAATTAGAAAATGAGAAGGATCTAAGGGCTTTTCTGTTTTGTTTTTTTTTAATATCAAATTCTACCCTTAGGAACTAGAAAAGACAGGAGTAGATTAAATCCTCAACAAGTAGATGACAAGACCCTCCCCCCCCATATAGCATTTTAAATTAAAGTGGTATAAAATTACAAACAATAAGGAAAATGTGATTCTTAGAAAAGATCAATAGAGCCAGGAGCAGGCCTTTGATTCCAGCACTTTGGAAACAGACAGGAGGATCTCTATGAGTTCAAGGCCAGCATGATCTACAGAGCAAGTTCCAGGACAGACACAGCTACACAGAGAAACTCTGGCTTGGAAAAAAAGAAAAGAAAAGAATAGGAAAGGAAAGGAAAGGAAAGGAAAGGAAAGGAAAGGAAAGGAAAGGAAAGGAAAGGAAAGGAAGGAAGAAAAGTTTAATAGAACCTTGGAGTAGCTAAGGAAAAAGAGAGGACATAAATTATTTATTTGTAAATAAAAGGATGGAGATAACAAAGGATTTTTACAAACTACTATGCCTGCGAACTTGATTACCTAAATGAAATAGATGAGTTCATAGAAAGACGCAAACTGTCCAAACTCAAAGAGTAAGAAACTGTCAGACAGGCCCAGCTGGTAGGACAAGTGCAGTGGATAGTGTATAGCCTCTAAAACAGAGAGCACCACTCCAGGTGAGCTCACTGCTGAATTCTACAGAATACATACAGAGCAGGTATACCACGTTCTGCAACCTCTTTCAGAACAGGGAAGTGAAGGAATCCTCCCTAATCCATACTATGAGGCCAGCATCATCCTCATGCCCATATCAGATAAAGATTATGATAAGAACAATACAGGCTAATCCCTCTTGTTAACAAAGATACAAAAATTCTCAATGAAGTATTAGCAAGTTTAACTGAGCAATATATAACAATATGTATATCTAATGTAAAAGAGGGCTTTACCTGGAGTATAAAGGTCTGGTTCAACAGAAATTACATGACCACAGCAATGGAATCCAGAAAAATGTTGAAAAGAATGCTACACTCATTCATAATAACAGATCTCTGTGAACTAGGAACAGAAAAGAATTCTTCAACTTAAGGACTATATATACACACATACACACATATGCAAAATTCCACACCTAATCCATGTGACATTAAGAAATCAGAAGTTTCATATAAAGATAAGGAGCAAAGCAAAGAGGTCTCATTTCACTGTTCTTTTTCAACACTGCACTGTAGGTCCTAACTAATGCAATAAGATAAGAAAAGTAAATTAAGTTTGAACGTATTATTAAGGAAGAAATAAAACTATCTTTTCTCAAAACCAATGATTTACTGCATAGAAATCCCAAGGAACTGACAAAAGCTCTTGTAATTAATAGGTAGTTACAGCAACATTGAGTATAATTTAATAAAAAAAAGCTCATTGTCACAGCAATATATATTATATATATATAATCAACACATATAATACATAATGTGTATCATACATAACATATATATATATATATAGATGGATGGATATGTGTAATGGTCTGTCCTGTCCTCGCACGCGCCTCCCATCCAGCGCCCCCAAGATGCCCAACAGGAAGGTTAGCGCGGACGGAGCGGCGAAGGCGGAGCCCAAGCGCCGCTCCGCGAGGCTGTCGGCCAAGCCCGCCCCTGCCAAGGTGGACGCGAAGCCGAAAAAGGCCGCGGGAAAGGATAAGTCATCGGATAAAAAAGTGCAAGCAAAAGGGAAGCGGGGAGCAAAGGGCAAACAAGCTGAAGTGGCCGACCAGCAAACCACGGATCTGCCCGCAGAGAAAGGAGAGACAGAGAACCAGAGTCCAGCCTCTGAAGGAGAAGAGAAAGAAGCCAAGTCCGACTAACCATCCATCATGTCTGTCAGTGTCCCCGCCTCCCTTCTTGTACAATCCAGAGGAATATTTTTATGGACTATTTTGTAAATGCGAGTTTTTTAGTAGCTCTAGAAACATTTTTAAAAGGTGGGGAGAAATCCTGCCTCATCCCATTTTTTAAGTGTGGGCCTCATCCCATTTTTTAAGTGTAAATGATTTTTTTAAGAGGTTAAATCACTTGCTGGTTGTTTATTTTTTGGTACAACCAGAAAATAGCAGGATACTGAATCAAGAGAGGCTGTGACTGTCTCGGGGGTCACCATAACATTCCGTAGAGGGGGCTAGTTTTATATCCTACAACACAAAGCATATACTAAGTGGTAATTTGGAGTCTCGGTCGTGCGTTTGTGTCTGCAATATTTTCCGTTATATCCAGTGTCGTGTTTCGTAGAACTGTTGGCTAAAAACCCACTCCTTGGTCCTTACCCTGTCAGGACTGTCTGCCTATGGCAGTCCATTTTCCTAACAAGTGTAACAATGTGCTGTGAAACATTGAACTTGAGAGTGTGTCCTGTGCGTGGCATAAAATGGTGAGTCAGTGGAGTTGAGGATTGTGAGCAGCTTATTATGTGAGGTCTTGGGGAAGACTTGCCAAGTTTGGGGGTGGAACATCACTTGAAACAACACATGGCTCTTTTGGGTACGTGAACACAATGTATGACTCCTCAGAGTTTGGGTACATGTTTTAAGAATTGAAATGTCTGTGTACTTTACTCCTCAACCAATAAAATCTCCGTTGTGAAATAGAAAAAAAAAAAAGAGAGAGAGAGAGAGAGAGAGAGAGAGAGAGAGAGAGAGAGAGAGAGAGAAGCCCTGCCCACTCCCTCCCTGTCCACTGAGGCAAGCAGATCTTCCTTCCTCTTCCAGCCTGAACTCCTTCTTTTCTGTCTCTCTCCCTTCTCCCCATTTATCTCCTTCCCACCCTGTTTCTCTCTCTCTCTTTCTCTCTCTCTCTGTCTCCCTTTCTCTCTGCCATTCTTTCTGCTCTTCTCCCTTTTCCCCTTCCCCACTTTCCCTTCCCCTCCATAACCTATTAAATAAATACCCACTTTCTCTGCATGGCACGGCTAGTAGATCTCTGTCTCTCACCTGCAGCGCGGCTCCCTGCCTAAGACATGCTGCCTTCATGGTGGCCCGCCTGCCTTCATGGCCCACCATGGTCTCGTACCTGCTTCCCACTGCTGCCACTGGGGGACCTGCGGCGTCTTACCATAACAATGTGTATAATATATTTACAAATTATATGCAAATTAAAACACACTAGTCACATTACCATACATGATAGTGAAGCTCTTTGGCATATGTTTGACAAGCTTATGCTACATGAAGAAAACTATAAAATCTGGATGAAATAAATAAAAAGAGTTAACTAAATGGACATACAATCATATTCACAGATGATAGGGTTCCATGTTGTTAAGACATCATTTCTTTCCAACTTGACCCACCGAGTCAATATAATCAAGATCAAAATCCCATCAAGTTCTGGTAGGTATCAACAAATGAACTCTAAAGTTTATATTGATCAAGAGAATACCTATAAAAATCAACAAATTTTTGAGTAAAAACCACAAAGGTGAAGGACTGACACTATCTGGTTTAAAGACCATAAAGCTATTATAATCAAGATAGTGGTATTAGCAGAAGTAGAGACAAAGAAACCAGAGGAACAAAATACAGAGTTCAGAAATAGACCAACATAAAGGCCATCAACTGACCTTCAACAAGGGAAGAAACACAACACAGTGGAGAAAAGATAGACTTCAGTAAATGGTGTTTGAATAATTGGACATACATGTAAAAAACCAATCTGAACATAAAATTAATACTCCACAAAATCAATGCAAAAATATCAAAGATAAAGTATGAAATATTAAACTTTAAGATTCTTAGAAGATAGGTCAAAAACCTAGGTGACCTTGAGTTTGGATATAATGTGTTAGTTGTAAACCAATGACACAATCACTGGGGATTCATTAAAGTTAATTTTTTATACACTATAAAACAACTATTAAAAATGAAAAAAAACAGAGTGGGATCAAATAGAGTCACAATTCAATTTATATATCTGATAAAGGACTACTATTGAAAATGTCACCTTAAAACTCAACAATGAGGAAACCAACAAGCCAATTTAAAAGTGGAACCGCGGGGACAGGCACATCACCAAAGAAAATATACAACGGTAAATAGCGTATGAAAAGCTGTCCCTAATCATATGTCATTAGGGAACCGAAAACTAAAACAACACTGAGGTAAAACTACACCCCTGTTAAGACAGCCCGAATCCAGAACTAACAACAGCAAACGCTGACAAAGGGGTGAACAATGGGCTCTCATCTGCTTTTGGTGAGACAGAAGGACACAAACCCTTTGGAAGACAGTTTCGTTGTTTCCCACTAAACTAAACACACTCAGACTGTACAATTCAGCAATTATGCTCACTTAGAAGGACTGAAAAACTTATGTCCACACAGATCCTTTAGATACAGATATTGGTAGTGTCTTTGTTATAATTGCCAAAGCTTGGAAGAAGTCAAGATGCTCTTCAGTAAGTGAACAGTTAAATAAATTTATGTCAAGATATTCAGAATCCTCAGATGAAACAAGGGCTGAAGACAAACTCATAAACCACCTGAAGAACTGTCTATGGGGTGAAGGAGTACATTTGAGAGCCAAACAAAGGCAAGAAGCAGACATAGGACCTTGAATACACAGGTGTTGATGATAAGAATTGTGATCTATGGATATTCAAACAGATTGAAAAGTAAACAAGGGGGCCAGGAGTCATTTGGGGAACAGTAAAAGAAATTTAATATGAATTTAAGATTTAAAATTCCAGGAGCTGATTCACTAGGCATAACAAAAACAGCAGTGATAGTTTAAGAAGCTGACCAATCATGCAGTCTGCGTCCTAACATTTGCATTTCTTGTCACAGAACCCAAAGAAACAAAGTGGCGTTGATAATGTTTACAGTCACAGAGCAAACACTTGGAGCAGGGACTTGGAAGCAAGCCAAGTGCCGATTGACAGGAGGGTGGAGAAGTCAGATAAAATGTGACATAGTCCCATAGTGACACAAAAGAATGCATTAGTGCAGGCAAGACAAACCTGTTACAGCCCCATAGAGCAACTTCAATCTCGACATCTCTGTGACTAGAAAACAAAAATACATCCAAGAGGCTAATTTCACCATTTTTACACTGCGACCAAGTGTCACAAAGTTTAAAAGTTAGAGCTAAACAAGGGACTTTCTAGAAATTTCAGGAACATCGGCATTCTTTAAAGTGATATAAAAAAAAAAAAAAACACCCACCAAGTTCAGAGTGTCTACACAGATGAGAAGCGTTTGGCTTGATAGGAGATGTTACTAGTGAGAGGACAAGCACGAGAGGACTATGCTAAATAAATGACAAAAGCATATTTATGTAATTAGTCTTCTGTTATTTATTATGACAAAATGTGTAAAAATCAAATAACTTATAAATAGAAAATGTTTCTTGTGGCTTACAACTTCAGAGACTCTTTTCCCCACTGAAATTCCTTTTACACAAGCAGGTTGCTTCTGAACAGACAGCTGAGCTTCAGCAGTATGTCTTACGATCCAGTGTACAAGCCAGGCTACCACAGCCACAGCCTGCTTATGATCCCCTTGCCTGTGCTATTGTTACAGATTGCAATATATCCCCACCAGCAATTTGAGAGGCATCACTGTCTCAAGAGGCAGACCCCATTCATCAAGGAGACATGCCACTCCTTGCATATTGAGAGAAATGACCAGCCTGAGTGTCATTCCTCCACCAAGGATGCTCCTGACTCAGTTTAACCTTTGTTGTACATCCTGTCATCCATCACAAGGAGTATGTATCCACCATACAGCAAGGGTGCGTAAGGAGGCCGGCAGAACTTGGCCTGGTCTGAGTAATAGGAATGAGTCCCTGTAAGAAGGGCAGGGTTATCTCCTCCAGCTCCCTGTAGATTGTCACTAGTACAAACTGCTAACCTCATGCTGGGAAAGAGCCTATCCAAGGGAGGATACCCCAGGCAGGACCAATCAGGGATGAGAGGAAATCCGAAGGGCTATAAAAAGTCAGACTCAGAGCCCCACCACACCCCCATGGGCACCCACCTCTAGGGGACCTTTCCCATCCCTTTGATGGAGTTGTTTGCCGGTTCTGATGAAGTCTGTAGTTTTTGGTTTTGCTCTCTCTGTGGCTAGTGCTTCTCAGTTCCCTGTCAATCTGTGCCTGTCACTTTCTGTCCAAGACCTTCACCATCTTACTTCTCCTCTCAGGCAGCCTGTAACTTATTTTCCGTCAGGGACCCTGACTATTCCTACTTACACTCTGAGGCAGTGGTGCTATCCTTGGTGATGCTGCCTTACCCAAAACCCCTGCAACAGATGCATACCGTCCCATACCACTTTTGGAAAGGTAACCATATCAGGATTGCCCCCTTGGACTCTCCACCCCCAGACACATCATCTTCAATGGCACTTCTCATCTCCCTTTTCAAGGACAGTGAACTGTCTCCTCCCCAGCTCAGTTTTGAGCCTCTTGGTCCCTGGTCCCTTTCTCTGCTTCCTGGGGAAAACCATGCTGGGTTTATATTATTTTCTTCCTGGTAGGAACTTATATCAAAGACTACTTGAGCCTGGAGTCGTGTTTTGACATTCTAGATCTCACAGTCCTCAGCTATGAAAACAGGGAGGTTGCATCAAAGACCTTGTAAAGGGTGTACTTAGTTCTGCTAGCATGTGCTCGGGTATAGGAGAATGTGCTGGACTGTGGGCAGTTTATCAGAGGCCCTGAAGAACCTGATCCTCCCTCCTCCAGCAGCCATCAATCGCCAATAGCTCACGTGCTAGGGGTGGAACCGCACAAGCCCCTCCCACCCAAGCTGGAATTTTGCCTGACTTGATCTTGTGCAAGTCTTGTACATGCTGTGGTCATGGAAGAAGGATTTGAAAGATCCAAACAGCGAGAGGTGGTGCCTGTATATGAAGAGTATTGACTGCACAAGACAAGGATGTCTCTCGGGTGCTCACAGCAGCAGAGCCTGCACACACAAGGACTGCAGTTCTCTATAGGACAACTTTCAACT